TAGGGAAATGTGGCATTAACACAAACCTTCAACCACGCTCTTTGTTCGCGTCTCATTCAATATTATATACTTATATTTGAAATATTATATACTTATATTTGAAAATCAAAATAAAAAAATTTATATTGTGTTTTAAGCATTAGATTTCTAAAAACAATTTTATAAATGTTTTATGATGTCGAAGAGTCCCTTAAATTGGAAAAGTAAAATATATAAAAGTCTTTTCAAACAATATTTTGTCATTCACATTTGTTTTATAATTAAATATCTATTAGCTAATGTTGTTAATAACACATGTGACAGGTTAAGCTCCTCGTGGAGTTTCAACCTTGCTTCCACGTAGCGTTTATGTCACTAGGGAGCAAAATAAAGAATTTAAAATGAATGAATAAACTGTGTGACTACCATTTGGATTTTGTTGTTTCTTCAACTTGTTCAAATTTTGTTACTTTGAGGGAAAGAAAAATGAATGAGAAATTTAGAGTCTTCCATAATATTAAGATGAGAAATTTATTCCTTGCTTTGAGATGATACACTATTTTTTTTTCTCAAATATATAAGTATATTTGGATATAAATTTAGAAGTATTTTTAGAATTTTTATTAAAAATAAATAGTATTTATTAATAATAAAAAAAACTCTTAAAAGCATTTTTAATTTGTATCTAAACACACTCTGTAATATAAGATTGTGATCATTGCAAGTATGATATGTTTTTCATAGAAGTTATGCATTGGTAGTATGTAAGGAGGTGAGGTTTCTTTGTTGAAGGCACTAAATATGGTTCACAAGAATAATCATAAGTGTGTAATCTTTATTATATTATACTCATGGTGTTTGTTTATAAGTCATAGGAATAAAAAAAAAAGTTTTTATTTATTTTTTATGCACAACTATGAGAAAATCCACAACAATATTATAAAAAAGAAAAAAATTATATAAATTTATTTAAACATTGTTTATATCTCATATTTATGTCTATAACAGCATCTCGGTGAATATTTATTATTTCACATTTATTTAACATAATTAAGTCACTTATGTTTACATCTACAATAATATTTTATCATATGACACCCCCTTTCATTCAGGGTGATAACCTCCTCTATAAACTTAGGTAATTCTTGTCATCTCAACAATCTCTAATTAATGACCTTGTATATTAATCATAAGTGAGAAAACAAATCATTAAAATAAATGTAATATTTAAATTTTAAACAACATCTTAATAAAGGGATGATATCTTTCATATCTAAACAATATTTTCAGAGATTTGAAATTGAAATTTTGAATTACTATCCCAACAATTCTTTCCTTATTTAAAATTTTCAAATTCCATTTTCTTGTTATCATGAATGTTCGTCACAATTATCTTTAATCATATTTTTTCTTTACAATATTTCTTGTCTTCATTCCACAAGTATTCAAAGGAGGAAAGGGAAGGGGAAGAATTTTAATGGAAAGGAGGAAGGGGGGATTGAGGGAGAGAGGGGAGGGGAAAAGTTAGAAATTTTGTTTAGTTGAATTCCCCTCCAACCAGACACTATGTTAGAGTCCTTTCAAAAAAAGAAAAAGGTGACCCTTAAAGCTTAACTATCTCTTGTAATAAGTTATAAATAATTGCACATACGTTAACTCATATTAATGAAACACACCATCTAACCTCTACACCTCTAAGAAGACTTTCAACACAAGGAATCTCATACTTGGATCAATTGCGATGGAGCAACGATCGATGCAAGTATTTAGAGCATAACTATGCTTTATGGATCACCACTAGATATACTCATAAATCAACTTCTACTACAAGAATGGGTTAAACCATGATCCTTTATTTAGAAAAAGAAAAAAAAAGGATGAACATTGGTTATGAATACACACAAAGTCTATTGGTAAAAGACCTTTTAAATGATAACCAAAAACTAAACTATGAAGACTTAGATCCAAAGTTAACAATATTTTATCAATGTAGAGACACATGTATGATAACTTATGGTGCACAACACTTTCATTGTCAATACTTATCTAAGCTAGTCATTTAGTCAAATTATTGACTTTGATATCATTGTTCATAATAATAAAAAATATTTTCTTTACACACAACAACGAGAGAACTTAAAAATATCATAAAATAAATAAAAAAAATATAATTTTACTTAACGTAGTTCAACCCCTCATGTCTATGTCCATAATAACATTTTAATCAATATTTATTATCTCAAATTTATTTAATGTAATTCAGTCTCTCATGTCTACATCTGCAATAGTATCCCATCATATGACTTCCTTTTTCTTATTTAGGGTGGTGATATCCTTTACAAGTTTGAGTCATTTTTTTATCTTAAGAATTTTTATTTATTAACTTTGTATATTTTAATTATAAAAAAGAAAATAACTAATAAAATAAATATAATATTTTAATTTTAAATAACATCTTAATAAAAAATAATATTTTTTATATCTAAATAATATTTCAGAAATTTGAATAGTTATTCAAAATGTAAGACAAATGAAGAGATTTTGGAGGTGACATTTGAGTGAGAGTAAAGGGGATTTAGTATGGTTGTGGTGGTTTAAGGGGTGTGAGAAGCAGGTGGTGTTCAGGGTGACTCAAGTGTGACCGGAAAAAAAAATCTTAAAAAATATTATAAAATTGATCATCAATAACGTGTAAGGACACTTGAGACATCACATGATACTTAACATGTTACATAATGATGCTAACCATGTTAATTAATTAACATCCATTTTTTGGGTATTATAATATTGACATTCACATTGGACTAAAGTTAATGACAAAATGTAATTTTATTTTATTTTTTTATTAAAAACTAATATAATAGTGTTGCACAAATTTAGGATCCCAAATAATAACATAATCATTTCTGTAATTAAGCAAACTTACATGAACGGTTTTATTATTAAAAGAGTCTAAATTGTCACTTGAATTTAAAATAATAATTATCCACACAAGTAATTATTATTTGACAAAAGGGAGGGGAAAAAATATCCAGTTCATTTATTCTTGCAAATTTCACCTCATGTAACTAACAAATTTCGTTTGATACAATAAGTTAAGAGTTAATCACCTATGTGGAAAGTTTTTTTATATTGACAACTAATCATATCTTTTAATAATGTAATATCATTTGCTTATTTAATGAAATAAAAATAAAATAACATAATTTAAAATATATGATTAGTTGTCGGTAGGGATGTGCAAAAAATCTAAATTGATCCGAACCGATCCATAACCGATTTGATCCGTTTTGAAAAATTCGATTCATTTTGAAAAAAAATCCGAACTGAATCACTTTATAAAACCGGTTCAGTTATCCGATCCATTTTTACAAAGTGGATCGGTTTGGTTTTTTAAAAAAATCGATCCATATGTGAGTAAAAAGTGGATAATCGCACCGTACCGAACCGATCCATTTTCAAAAAAATAAATCCATATTTTAAAAAAACCAAACCGATCCACTTTATAAAAAATGGATCGGTTAACCAATCCACTTTTATAAAACGGTTTGGTTTGGTTCGGTTCAAATTTTTCAAAAAACCGATCCATAAATACTCCTAATTATCAGTGTAAAAAACTTTATATTCACGATATATAGATGGTTAACTCAAAAGTTAATACAAATATTTTGTAAATAAAATTGGGCCAAGCTATTAAATTTTAAGTTGAAAACAACGAAACTCATTTACTAGATCCAACTCACTAGATCCAATAGGTCAAACAAAACCTCTGAAATGTAAATCAAAAAACTATCGAACTTATTTAACCTAATTTTTTTCTTTAAAGAGTTTCAGTAAAAAAAGAAACACATTAAGTTAATTACAAATTGGTGGTGCTATTTCTGCAAGATATTTAATTCGTTGCATGTAATATGATAGTAATAGCTATGAAATACGATTGTTGATTTGATGATACCCACAGTACCTGATTTATTTTTTAGGAAGATTCACAATATATTCTTTATTTTATCTGTGAAAAAATATAGTAGATTTAATTTTCTTCCAATAATTCTAAAAATATCTCGTCACATCACACACACTTGGATCTTGCCTCTTTCGTATCCGAACAAACTTCCAATTTATAAATCCTTGAGTGCACTTTTGCCCATCCCTCGCGGGCCCAATCTCTATCGATTGAAATTTCGCACTCGTGACATTCAAACTGTTCTTTCACTTTGTATTTGGGCGAGAGCTTTTTTGATTTTGAATCATCTTTAATTTATAAAATTAATTTTACTTAAAATAAAGTAATTTGTGATAAGAATTTTTACATTAAAAGTGTGGATTTTATAATAAAAATTCAATATTTTTTTTTTAATTTAACGTAAATATAACATTAAATACCTTGAATATAGGTACACAAATGTTTAGAATCCCAAACGTAGTTGGGGCCATGCCAATAGCCAACCGTATACTTAATAAAAACAAATAAATGAAATGATCTTAGATTGTTAAGTTTATGTTTGAATAAGTATTTATAAATGTACCACAATGTCCCTAAATGATATTTATTTGACATATATATTAATTGTTTAACAAACTAGATGAAGTATAAGTTATTGAATGCACGTAGACTTGAATTTATAATTGTATAATATAATTTTGGTACTAAATAGATAATTTAATATAAATTTAAAATTATTTAACAAAAAATACTTAAATTTAATAAAAATAAAATAAA